TGATCTGGCTGTTGAAGGGCAATCAGAAGTCAGCCTGGTGAAGGAGAAGGAGGATTAAAAAAAAAAAAAAGCTGCAAATATGAAAACATGGAATCTGGAGCAAAGCTCATGTCTTTGTAGGGAACTGTACATGTACACCAGGTGGAAGTTGAATATAGGGGATGCAGCAAATGAAAGAGGCAGAGAACTGTGGGCTCTTCCAAATGCTATGAGGAACCCTTGAAAGGCGAGTCAGTGCTCCTCTTGGGAAGGTCTTAGAAGCAGGGAGACCACCAGAACAGCTGCTGAGGTGCTGGCTGAGGAAAAGGGAGGGACAAGCACGGCTAGGGGTAGGCAGGCTAAGGCACATAGGTACCAGGACCCACAGGATCACGTGACTGAGGTTTGCAAAAGAAATCTGCAGGCATGGGGTTTTCAAGCCAGGTCTGGAGAAAGAAAGAAGGCCAAAGAAAGCAAATGAAACAGGACAAAACCTCCCACTGGGGCCGACTCTGCAATGTTGACGGATGACTGAAAGACAGTGAGGGAAGGCCTGCTTTGGCTTCTCCAGCAGGGAGAATGCTTTTCAACCTGGAAAGGGTGGACTATATTAAGAAGGAAGTGAAGCCCAAGAGAGCTCAGAAAAGAGGAAGTGCTATCTCTTACTCTCAGTGCCTTCCTTCCCACAGGCCAGATGAATTTTTTAAGCTACTGAAAGAAAATGCTGGGGCAGAGAGAGGCAAGTGTCCTCATTTCCCACTTTCCTGCCATTGCCTCTTATACACTAAAACAACAAAACCCGGAGGCCTTGCCCCTGCCTCCCTCCTACTGCCTGGGGATCCCCTCTGTGCCGGGGAAGTCACTACTCAACTTTTGAGACCCAGCTGAGGTAAACGAGATCTCCTGAATCTTTCTATACCAACAGTGACACCTGCTTACTTTGTCCTCTCTCTCCACTTGGCTCCCTTTTAAGATTCCTACCAGGCACATTCAATCCTTTTTGGCATGTTTTTATTTACATGCTCGTTAGCCCATCTTGGACTATCAGCAATGTCAATCATTCAACAAATGCTTACTGAAAGTATACCACATACCCAACATACCTGACAGGCACAGTGACTGCCTTTTCAAAGTCTAGACTCTAGTCTAGTCGGAGAAGGCATAGGTCAAAGAAAAAATTATATAATTAATTAATGATATGCAATCACAAAAAAAAAGTTTCAAAGAAAAAAGTTATACAGGACTTATAAAAGTCAGGAAAAGGTCTTCTTTATTTCTTATATCCCTTAGGGCTCTGCATGATACTTGGTGTATTTTTTTTCTTTTTTAGGATTTTATTTATTTATTTGAGAGAGAGAGAGTGAGAGAGAGCATAAGCAGGGGGAGAGGCAGAGGGAAAAAGAAAGGGAGAAGCAGACTCTGTGTTGAGCAGGGAGCCCAACGTGGGGCTCGATCTCAGGATCCCAGGATCATGACCTGAGCTGAAGGCAGACACTTAACCTACTGAGCCACACAGGTAACCCATGCTTGGTTTATCTTAAGTGCTAAATAAAGTTGTCAACTGAATGAATAAATGAGGGAATGAATGAATGAATGAATGTGCAGGTATTTCCAAATGTTAAAACTTGAAGTCTTAAGAAATTACAGAACTGTAAATTCTACCGATCTTGAGCAACATATTCACATGGAATTTTGAGAAAAGGATTTATAAACCCATAGGAAAAAAAAGTTCCCCAGAAACTACAGTGGGATTATTAACAACAAGTAATTTCAGAAGAATTACATGGTTGCCCATGCTGAGATTGGACTGATATATATATCCATTCATTCCACAAATATTTATTAACTACTTATTTGTACCTAAGAGGTACTGAGACTTAACAGAGAAGGTGCCTGTTCTCATGGAACTTACATTCTGGTTCAGGGATTTGGGGAGGCAAACAACAAACAAATAAGCCAAAACAAAAGAACATGATTCTGGTTTGTGATAGGCACCAGGAAAAAAATAAAATCACATCATATAGCCAGGGGATGATAGTTGATGCACAGGAAGTAGGGCAGGAGACTTTAGAGGGGTGACCAGAGAGGACTTCTCTGAAGAGGCGGCATCAGCATTGAAAATTGCATTGGCTGAAGGAACTATGTAAATTCTTGGAAAAAGCTGTTCTGTGCTTAGGGAACAGAAAGTGCGAAGGCCCTAAGGTAGAAAAAGCCTGGCATGTTCCAGGAATAGCAAGAAAGCCTCTAAGGACAGAAAGAAGTAAAAGGAATTTGAAGAGGTTGGCATGGAGCATCCAATGAGAAACCTTACTTGCCAGAAAGGAGTCTCGATTTTATTTTAAGTGAAGCAGGCAGGGGAATGATGCAATTTTATCTCTTTTTTATAAAGATCACTTTGGCTGCTCCCTGTTAAATAGGTTGGGGGACACTGTGGCATAGAGCAGGAAGTCCAGCTGGAAGTCTATTTAAATATGCAAGGTGAGTACTGACAGAAGCTTCAGCTCTGGAAGGCAAGGAGAAGTATGTGGATTTGGGATGTGTTTTGGAGGACAGAGCTGATTGAGCAACTATGAACTGTAAAGAAGTTGAGACTGAGCCCTGAGATTTAGCATAGGTCACAGTGAGCTAGAAGGGAAACCGGGTTTTTAAAAAGTAAAAGTGGCTAATTGAACCAAATACTACTGAGAGGTTGAGTGAAGGAGAAATTTGAGAAGTGACAATTGGAGTTGGCGATGAGGAGGTCACTGGTGGTCTTGACGAAAATAGTTTCTGTGGGGCATGCTACATTAGTCGGGGCTCCCCAGAGAAATAGGGTTAGGTGATTGATGATGATAGATAGAGAGATAGATAATAGATATGCAGATATATGATAGATGATAGATATAGATAGATAGATCAGAGATGATGAGAGATGTGAGAGAGAGAGAGAGATGATAGAGATACAGATATATTACAAGGAATGGCTTACACAATTGTCGGGGCTGGCTAGACAAGTCTAAAATTTGTCTGTTATGTCAGGTCAGGAGGGGCCGGCCGGAAAGTCTGGCAGGAGCTGAAGCTGCACAGCATAAGTAGAAATTCTTCTTCCTCAGGGAAACATCAGTTCTGATCTTAAAAGCTTTCAACTGACTGAATCCAGCTCACCGAGACATCAAGGCTAATCTCCTTTACCTAAAGTCCAGTGATTGTAGATGTTCACCACACCACAGCAACGCCCAAATTCATGTTTGCTTGAGTAGCAAGACTGCAACCTAGCCAAGCTGACACTTTAAACTGAACACCACAGGTGAACAGACTGAATAGAATAGAATCTCTCTTGTCTAATTCCTCTCCTCTCCGAGGAGAGGAATCTATGTACTACTGGGCTATTCCAAATCAGGGGCTGTTAGGTTGGTCAAGAATTGGGCTTTACCAGACCTGTGCCCTTCCTAATATTGTAGAAAAATCTACTTAAAAAAAATGTTACTGTGGGCACTTTTCCTTAAGAGAGGGTCCTTTACTGCCATCAGATTTTCAAAGGGATCCAGCATCAGAAAAAGCTGAACATGCTGCTCAAAGGTCACTTTCATCCTACAGTCTGCTATTTAACTTGATGCTCTGAGTCTTTCTGTGCACGCACGCAGAACAATGTGCGTGAAGAACAAGGACAACCGGCTGGACTGGCAGAAAACAATGAGGACAAGTTAAATAGTAATAAGATTGTTACACCAAAATAGATTGGTGAAGTTATAATATAAATAATCTTTTTAACTTCAGCATGAAAGCTTCATGTTGTACGTAAAAATAAACCTCAGAGTAGTGACAACTGTTATCAAGAGAAGAGGAAACAAGAGACTGTGGGTGTGCCAGTAATCCCGGGATAGGAAGCATATATCCTCATAGACATTCTATGCTTTGTGGAAGGCAGTGTTTCCCTAGCCTAATGGTTTGTTGATGTATCTGTTGTATTAACACATTCTTTCTGGAAGTCCTTGTTCAAGATAAAGACAATCATTTCACAAGTAAATCCCCTCTGTGCAGAAATTTATTTTTACTAGACACTCTGTGTCCATAGCTTCCATAGGAAGCTTGTTAAATACTCAGCTTTCTGGGTCCCTATGCCCAGAATCCTAATCCAGGATGTATAGGACATGGCTAAGCAAATGCATTTTTAAGGACAACTCCAGATGATTCTGATACAGGCATTCAGTTGACCACATTACAGAAAATAGTACAAGCATGTAACCAAATAGACACTTCAACAGGACTTGTTGAACTAATTTTAGTGGTAGCAATCACGTGTGTTTATTCACTGGAAGTCACTGGGTTTTGGCATATAAGCAGGAGGTGTCACTGCTAAAGTAGAAAAATAATTTATGATGATGAAATTTTAGATTTAAATATAAAGTGTATAGGGGAGAATTATAGGAATGATTACATGTCTTGCATAATTGTTACTTTATTCTAGAGTGATTGCCAGCTCTACCCATGTTTACAACCTTTCTTATTTGCAAGATTAAGCACCACTTCTACATTCAGTACCAACAACTCACAGACAAATGGATGGTTAGCATAATTCCAGGAAAGAAGCATTCCCTGGGTTACACTGGGTTGATATGTTCCTTTTCCTCCTCTTCTAGAACACGTGAGGAGGGAGAAACTTTTTTCCTCAGGGTTTTGAAGGAGGGGCGAATTTATAATACCTCACCCCACTTCTGGGAAAGAATGGAGCTCAGATTACTCTTCTACTTCAAGGACCAATGATGCTCAAACTCCAAGAGCTCTTAACTTTGAACTTTGGGTTGTTGTTAAGCTTTTATCATGTTATCACCACAGAGCTCCTTCATTCCTACGCAGAAGAGTTTTTTACATTTTCAAACACGCAGAAGCTATTAGAGACTTGAAAGAACATTAAAACAATTGAGATTGCCATCTCAACGGCAATTGAGATAAACTGGTTCTACTCAATTTTAGATAAACTAGTACCGTGTGGGGAAGGCTGCTCACAACACACCAGCATGAGGGTACATTTATACACTTACTATAGGAGCATCCATAGACCTCCACCCTCATGCCAATCTTTCCACTTGGATTCCATTCTAGGGGCACAAAGCGAACGAAGCGAGCTCTCACTGAGTGCAGTAACTTGTGGTGCATCACGCTGTCAGCATTCATGTTTCCTGCAAAGGTCTGCAGAGAGAAAAGGAGGCTCAGTGAGGTCTATGATACTATTGCATCTCCTTCCCATGCCCAAGCTCAAAAACATCATTGCAAATTCACATATGTTACTCCAAGAAAATCCTTATTCTCACATATGTCATATAGAATCTGACTCTCATGAAAATTCTGAATTTAGAGGAAGGAGTTTCCCAAAGAATAATGTATACCCCTATTAGATGCATTGACGCTACCACCCACCCAAACAAAGCCAGCTCAGGTGCTGAAGATAACAACTGAAAAACAATAAGGGTGACAGCCAACTTCTCATGAGAAATGGTGGAGACCAACCAATGCTGAAAGTAGGACACCATCAACCTGGCTTTCTACACCCAGCAAAAATAGCTTTCAGTTCTGGAGAAAAAATAAACATAGTTTCATTAAACAAAAGCTGAGATAATTTATTGCCTACAGACCCCCACTGCTAAGATTGCTAAATAAATTCTACAATCTAAAGAAACTGATTCAAAATAGAATTGTCAAGTTATAGGAAGGAAGGAATGAAGAGTACTCAAAGTGGTAAATATGTGGGTAAAAGTAAAAGACTAGCTTTCTTTCTTTTCCTAAACTTCTTAAGTTAATGCACAGTTTAAGGGAAAAATAAAAATGTATTGTGAGATTTATAACATATATAGAAGTAAACATATGTCAATAAAACTATGAAAGATGGAATATAGGATAAATAGAATTACACTAACATAAGGCCCCACAATTTATGTAAACTGATATAATAGCAATTTGATGTAAACCATGATAAGATAAAGATGCATAAAAATAAACCAAAAAGGTATAGCCACAAAGCCAATAAAAGAGAAAGGATGGAATATTGAATAATAATAATAATAATAATAATAAAACAAGAACAACAAATCAGCAACAAAAATCCCAGTTTAACACAAAATAAGACAGGAGAAACAAAGGAATAAGTCACAAAGAAGAAAAAGAAAAAAAGGAATTTCTAGTAAAAATTTTTATGAAACATAATTGCATTAAAAGAAAAATGAGTTACAACTCCAATGAAAAGTTAGAAATTGTCAGGCTGGACAAAACAGTAAGGCCTATCTGTGTACTTTGTATATGATACTTTTTTGTTTTAATAGTGAAGATACTGACAGGTTAAAAATAAAGGATGGGGAAAGATATTACATGCAAACAGTAGGTATACGAAACCTGGAATATTTGTATTGATACCAGACAAAGAGGCTGTATTGCAAGATAACGACTTTTCAAAATTACAAAGGGTCAATTCATCATGAAGAAAAAAAAACAAAAAACAAAACTGAATGTGTTTGCTTCTAAACAGATTTGAATTACAAGAAGCAAACCCTGACAGAAACAAAAAGGGAAGAAACACAGCAGTGACAGTTACAGTTGACTTTTAATATCTTCCCTCAGTGGGGGGGCGGATCAAGATGAAGGAGTAGGAGACCTGGATTTCGTCTGGTTTCAGGAATTCAGCTGAATAGGGATCAAACCATTCTGAATACCTACGAACTCAACAGGAGACCGAAGATAAGAAGAGTAACAACACTCTGAACAGAAAAGCGACCACTTTCTGGAAGGTAAGACGTGCGGAGAAGTGAATCGGAGGAGATATTCGGGAGGATAGACGGCGGGGGAGGGGGACTCCGTCGGCCGCTTCTGGCAAGTGATAGAGCCGCGGAGCACAAAATCGGAACTTTTAGAAGCCGGCTCCGCTGAGGGACATCGCTCCAGTGGCTAAGCAGGAGGTGGAACCCTCGTGGGACAGTGTGGTCTCAGGACCCTTGGGGTCACAGAAAGACCAGGGCTGCCTGAGTGCAGCAGAGCTCCCAGGTATCGGAGCGGGGAAGCCGGCTGCAGAGACGGAGCCGAGACGTGGGCTCTCAGCTCAGGGTTGCCATAAACTGTGATCCGCGGCCAGTCGGGCTACGGCTCCTCCAGCAGGGACCCAACAAGCGGCAGAGCCGGGGAGACTCCCCTTCCTCCTCCGGGAGGAGCGGCGTGGAAGCGCACCGCAGGGATCTGCTGGGTTTGGAGATTCCACACGGGGTCAGGTGCCAGACATAGAAACGCTCTATCACAGGCCGGGTGAGCACGGAGTGTGGCCGGAGACCGGGGAGACGGGAGTGACTGCTTTTCTCTGGGGGTGCACGGAGGAGTGGGGCCCCGGGTTCTCAGCTCCTCCAGCGGAGATTGGGAGGCCACCATTTTCACTCTGGTCCTCCAAAGCTGTGCTGAGAGATTGCAGGGAACAAAAGCTCCCAGAGCAAACCCGAGCAGCTTGTTTAGCCCGGACTCACAAGGGCGGGGCAATTCCACCTCCAGCAAAGACATTTGGGAACCACGGCAACAGGCCCCTCCCCCAGAAGATCAGCACGAACAGCCAGCAAGCCAATACCAAGTTTACCGATCAAGGAGAACGGGAGAACTCCAGCGCTAGGGGAATACTGCACATAGAATTCATGGATTTTTTTTTTACCATGATTCATTCGTTTTTCAAAGTTAATTTTTTAACTGGTTTTTTTTTGAATTTTTCTTTTTCCCTTTTTCAACCAACATCTTATCAATCCCTTTTTAAAAAAAAAAACATTTTTTATTTTTCATTTATAGAGTCATATTTTATCCCTTCATAGTAGTTACCCTTATTTTTGGCATATATATATAAGTTGTTCTCTCTTTAAAATTTTGAGATACAGTTTCTTCTAACAGATCAAAATATACCCTAAATCACTAGTGTATGAATTTGTTCTAGTCTCCTGCCTGATCACATTCTCTCCCTTTTTTTCCTTTTTAATTTTTTTTTAAATCTTCTTCTTTTTTCAAACAACTTCTTATCTTATCAGTTCCTTTTATAAAATCTTTTATAATTTTCATCTTTACAATCATCTGCCATCCGTTCATTGTATCAACCCGTATTTTGGACATATATAAGTCTTTCTTCCTTTAAAATTTTAGCAGGCACATTCTTCTAACAGACCAAAATATGCCCAAAAGCTAGTGTGTGGCACTGATCTATGCACTAGCCTGATCATATTTGATCATATTCTGTTTTTTTTTTGTTTTGTTCTGTTTTTGTTTGTTTTTATCTTTTTCTTTTTCCTTTTTCTTTTTCTTTCTCTTCTTTCTTTACCTTTCTTGTCCCCTGGTTTCAGGTCTTTTCTGATTTGTATAGAGTATATTTGCTGAAGACATTAACCTGTTAGCATTCTGTTCTTTCATTCATCTGTTCTCCTCTGGACAAAATGACAAGATGAAAAAAATCAGCTCAGCAAAAAGAACAAGAGGTAGTACCATCTGCCAGGGACTTTCTCAATACTGACATTAGTACGATGTTGGACCTAGAGTTCAGAATCATGACTTTAAAGATACTAGCTGGGCTTGAAAAAAGTGTGGAAGTTATTAGAGAAACCATTTCTGGAGAAATAACAGAACTAAAATCTAACCAAGTCGAAATCAAAAAGCCTATTAATGAGGTGCAATAAAAAATGAGGCCACTAACTGCTAGGATACATGAGGCAGAAGAAAGAATCAGCGATATAGAAGACCAAATGATGGAAAATAAAGAGACTGAGAAAAAGACAGATAAACAACTACAGGATCACGAGGGCAGAATTGGAGAGATAAGCAATACGATAAGACAAAACAACATTAGAATAATTGGGATCCCAGAAGAAGAAGAAAGAGAGAGAGGGGCAGAAGGTATATTGGAGCAAATTATAGCAGAGAACTTCCCTAATGTGGGGAAGGAAACAGGCATCAAAATCCAGGAGGCACAGAGAACCCCTCTCAAAATCAATAAAAATAGGTCAAAACCCGACATCTAATAGTAAAACTTAGGAGTCTCAGAGACAAAGAGAAAATCCTGAAAGCAGCTAGGGAGAAGAGATATGTAACCTACAATGGTAGAAACATTATATTGGCAACAGACCTATCCACAGAGACCTGGGAGGCCAGAAAGGACTGGCATGATATCTTTAGAGCACTAAACGAGAAAAATATGCAGCCAAGAATACGATATCCAGCTAGGCTCTCACTGAAAATAGAAGGAGAGGTAAAAAGCTTCCAGGACAAACAAAAAATAAAGGTATTTGCAAACACAAAACCAGCCCTACAAGAAATATTGAAAGAGGTCCTCTAAGCAAAAAGAGAGCCTAAAAGCAGCGTATATCAGAAAGGAACACAGGCAAAATACAGTCACAGTCACCTTAGGGCAATACAATGGCACTAAATTCATACCTTTCAATAGTTACCCTGAATGTAAATGGGCTCAATGCCCCAATCAAAAGACACAGGCTATCAGATTGGAATAAAAAACAAGACCCATCAATATGCTGTCTGCAAGAGACTCATTTTAGACCCAAAGACACCCCAGGTTGAAAGTAAGGAGGTGGAAAACTATTTACCATACTAATGGACACCAAAAGAAAGCTGGGGTGGCAAGACTTATATCAGACAAATTAGATTTCAAAACAAAGACTGTAATAAGAGATGAAGAAGGACACTATATCCTACTTAAAGGGTCTATCCAACAAGAAGATCTAACAATTGTAAATATCTATGCCCCTAATGTGGGAGCAGCCAATTATATAAGGCAATTAATAACAAAAGCAAAGAAGCACATTGACAACAATACAATAATAGTGGGGGACTTTAACACCCCCCTAACTGAAATGGACAGATCATCTAAGCAAAAGATCAACAAAGAAATAAACACTTTAAATGAAACACTGGACCAAATGGACTTCACAGACATATTCAGAACATTCCATCCCAAAGCAAGAGAATACACATTCTTCTCTAGTGCCCATGGAACATTCTCCAGAATTGATCACATCGTAGGTCACAAATCAGGTCTCAACCAGTACCAAAAGATTGGGATTATTCCCTGCATATTTTCAGACCACAATGCTTTGAAACTAGAACTCAATCACAAGAGAAAAGTCGGAAAGAACGCAAATACATGGAGGCTAAAGAACATCCTAGTAAAGAAT